GGTGCCACAAGTACTCCTCTTTTGTTTGTTTGTTTGTTTGTTTTTTGCTGACACACACTAACACGGCTACCACTCTGAAACCTGTCACTATTATATAATTATTATTCCAGCATTTACAATGTTGACTTTTTATATATATCAAGTGTTTTAGAAATCTATCTAGCTTTGATTGCCATTTGTTTATTTTCTTGAGACATGCACCATAATAGAGATGCAAAAGCAGCTACTAATTTATTTCCCATAATATCTCTTTTAAAAAAACTGCTGTTGCTAACTGATAATTTGTATTTGAATAAAAAGATCAAACAAAGGACCCGAGATATAATTTTATTTGCCTTCTTAATTTTTATCATAGCAAGATGCCTAACAAAAAATTGTACATCATTTTGCTATACTGTAGCCTCTTCAGTGTGTGTGTGTGTGTATATATATATATATATATGTGTGTATACGTACACGCACACACACATTAAATCAGCAGTAAAAGTCTGATGAGGGAATTCTTTTGAATGTATGGAACAGTTTATTTTTTGCTCCTTATTCATCACTTCATTAAGAAAATATGGATTCATTATTAACATTTATTGATTTAGGCATCCAATGAATGAATATATTTTATAAATGCCAGGAAATTCTGAATTCTGTTTACTCACAGCTAACAGTCACTGAAGTTAAGTGTCTGATGCTATTTTGATGACAGCCCTCAGTTCAGAAACTTTAAAGTCATTGGTCGTGTTCTAATTTATATAAGGCTTTAACTCACCTCCCAGGTTTACCAGATAAATTTTTGTATTCTTTTATATGAAATGGCATAAGTCTGCAAAGCAACACTTTCACTTCTACTTTACAGCACAAAATATTACTTTTTTTCCCCCAGGATCTTTTGACAAAGTGAAGTTAAATAATTGCTGCTCTTTTTTTGTTGTTTTGTTTTGTTTTTTACTGAAAATTGAAAGTCACTTAATCATTTTCTGGCATGTCTAGGGAACTATCATCGAGTATGGGAGACAAAACATTTCTTTTTCTTCATTTTCAACTACCTTTTAAGGGTACAATCGCTATTTACTTTTGTAATATTCTTCTATTTGGCTTTCTGCTTGGTGGCTTTTCTTTTGTTTCTTGGAGCTGTAGCTCTACAATATCTGGTTTGTACATACATTGTTATGCATATAAAACTTAGCTGTCATAACTAATTATTTTTTATCATTTTGAGCTGTTAATTTTGAGGGCTATTTCAATCAAGCAAACTGGGCACTATGGAATATTTTCTGCAGTCCAGTGTGTTTGAAATGTAATTGAGGTATTGCTGTGTGTTTGATTTTCTATAGACTTTGATAGAGTAGAGTCATTAGTCCACCTTGTGATCATCCATCTGTTTGCTTCCATTATAAATTAAATGGATGATATTAGAGTTCAGAAATAATTCAGCTAATAAAAGGACCACATTTTCAAATGGCCTCAGCCTGCCCTCTATGCCCATTCCAGCAAAAACTTCAGCACGTGCATAAATTTAAGTGAGTAGTCCAACTGATGTGTACGTTCAGTTCAAATTTTGAGTGCATATTTGGGTAGCTTTAATTGAATTCAAATGAGTTTTCCCCTGCTTTTTGAACTAAAATGTAACAAAATGGCTTTTAGCTGTGTGCCAACATTCTGAGTGAAAAATCAGTTGTAGATGCAAAATTGTAAGAACATAACGACAAAATTTAGTTATCTACTGATTGGCACTGACAAATCAGGCACAGTGATTAGATTTCTAAAATCTTGTATTGTTTCTACAGCATTATAAACACACCATTATTCTCTGATTCTGCAAAGACTCGTGCAAGCAGAATTTCGCCATTTAAATGATATAAATAAATTGTTTATTAAAAGGAAGGAGAAAATCAGTTTGAGTTAAATAAAAACTGACTTGAATATGTACTGGAAATTTGAATTGAACCAGATCAAAGTCCAGTTAACTACTATTTGAGTAGTTTTTCTTTTCTTAGTACCTATGCACTTCTCTGTGCTGCATATGGAGTTGAAATCAAAGTGACCATCTTACCATGAGACTTCAATCCAAAGTTTGCAGACAATTGAGAGTCTGGGTATGTCATGGAGAAGGATGTATTCAAACCAAATCTTTTGACACTAACCATCACAGTAACATGGAATAATAATACAGGCACCGGTTCAGCAAAAGCACTTAAGCACGTGCCTAAATCATTCCCTCTTCAACAAAGCACAGTGAACGTTAAGCCTGTGCTTAAAATTAAAATATATGCTTAAGTGTTTTGCTAAATAGGAATGGGATTTCTTAAGTGCTCAACTGGAGTCATAATACTTTGCACTTCTATAACATCTTGCACTCAAGGATCTCAGAACACTTTACAAATACTAAAGATGCAGTCCTCACAACTCTGTGATATCCATATACAGAGAGGAAACTGTGGCACATGCCATATCTTCACTGCAAAAAAGGTGTGTTCTTACACTGGGATAGGCAAATTGAGATAACTATCTTGGTATAAAATCCTCCTGGAGATAAGGCACAGGTAGGTTTTAACCTCAGTGCAGCTTGTCAAGGCCAACACTATATTCCCCCACCTGGGATTTATCTTGCCTAGCTACATTGAAGTATAAACTAGTGTCTTGTCACTACTGGGATTTTACATCAAGATAACTTCCTCAATGTAAACATGTTCCTTTTTTTTTTCTTCAGTGAAGACATAGCCATAAAGAGGGTAAGTGTCTTATCCAAGTTCACACATGAACTATGTGGAGGACCAGAAATAGAATATCAGTCTTCTGATTTCCCTGTCCGAACCTTAAACAAAAACAACCTCTTTTCCTCGATCTACTGTTTTAAAGGAACAGGATTGAGATATAGGAGATGTAGCTATAATTTTGTTGGCTCTGCAATATTTGATTTGAAGTATGACCTGAGCATGTTACATTGTCTGACTATGTCCCATTTTCCCTAGCAATTATTATGAAGCTTTGAGATCCTTAGATTTGAAAGGGGGTCATTAGAACTGCAAATTATTATCATTCACAGCACTCTATCTTTGACTCTGTAATAGTATCTAATTTACTTTCCAGTAATGACTGGGAAACCCAACGTGGGTTAACAAGGTTAGCAAATTAGCAAAAAATATGATTGTAAAAAATATCAAGGATCTGGCATCACAAAATGTACTTTGTTCCTTTGTTTTGGCTATTGCCCTTTATTTATTATGATAATGACATGCAGGTTTAAGCAATCTGTGCTATTGTTTGTAGGAGAGTCTGAGCAGTACTGTGGTATATTTTGTTAAAGTAATGAAGTGTGTGAGCATTCAGTTATTAAAGCTGTGCTGGTGAGTGGTGAAGCAATATTTTGGTGAGAATTATTGAGTTTACACAATAGCAAAGTGAGAATTGGAAGGTCTACTGTATTTACTGCACTGTTTCCTACAACATTAACATTTTAATGAAAGTTATTGTTCAGTAGAAGAGAGTAGAGAAGCAATAGCACTATGTTGGTATAGAATATTTTTTAAAATAAGTTAACTGATAGCAGAGATAATTATGTATTAAATAACAGAGCTAGACAACAATGTATGAGTCATGCTAAGATAAAAATGTGACCACAGCAATGTGTTTCTGCGTTCAGTCTGTGCTCTTACTGTACATTGTTTCAGCTCCATGCTCTGGTCACATTCAAAAGTTTATCTTAATTTCATAATACAAATGAGTCACTTCTTCTCTTCGAATCTCACTTGGGGATGAATCCTGAAGTTTCTACAAATGTTAATGCATCCCTTACTCAGGCTAAATTCCCACTGGTTTCAAGTAAGGTTCTGTGTTGTGTGCGGGCTGAGGGCAAGATTTCAGAAGTGCCGTGGAACTTGTGCTCGTCAGTTACTTACGTACTTTGGAAATTCCATGCTGAGTACAAAAACTCAGCAAGGGCATCAAGATTGGCCATTTACATTTGAAGATTTGCAGAGCACTATAATTGAGGCCAGATAAATATTTCAAGGCATATTAAAGGCCATATAGTCAGCATGGTGATGTGAAATTAAGCATACCAGCTAGTGTACTAGCACTGTGCTAGAATGTGGTTCTTCAGGGTTTTATCTAGCTCAGAAAGAGATAATAAAATCTTACTTAAACAACTTTTAAAATAATTGTAAAATAATTACAAATTTATTTGTAATAACTTTAAAGTAAATCAAACATTTGTGAGATGAGCAACAAAAGCCCTTGGAATTTGATTCTACCAGCAAAGAAACACCTACAGTTCTCATTTGAAGAAATGTATGCAAGTGTAAACCCCCTGGAAGAAGAGAATGTGATATAATTCTTTTAGTTATGGGCAAACTTCAATATCTAGTGAACCACTTGGTTTCAGATAAGCCTATGGACTTATCCACGTGTCTTTTGTTTAGAAGCAACTCTCATAGAATTACTAGTGCTGCCCGGTTTTCACTGGGCCACAAATACTGTGGGAACAGCCTTTTTGTAATATTTCAATATTGCTATTTCAGATCCTGGCAAAAACCAGAAATTGCAGCAGCGCATAGAGCGTTAAATAAGTGACATTTTTGGAACCACCCTAAATGGCTGGGTTGAAGTGTGGGAAAAGATTTGGACAGCTTTTTTATCAGAATAAGTTTCCCTATCCCGAATATTTATGGGTCCAGTCCCATCCACTTTCCCTCATAGCTGAAGCACACACTCAACACACCGGATATCAATGTGATACTGCTGCACAGGGCAGAAAGGATTCAGAGAGCCTGTGCAATATGGATCACACCTCTAGGGGAGCTCCCTACACACTGGCATGGAGTATAATTTAGGGAGCAGGGCTGAGGAAGGCAAAGGGGAGGATGGGACAACAGGTTTCAAATCTAAGGCCGCTGCCCTCCATTAACTGAGTTGTGTTCTAGGGAGAGGGAGAACTCCTATGTAAAGGGTATATTATGCTGCTGTTGAAGTTTGAGTTCTAATTTTTCAAAGGTTTTACTCTGCAGATTATTCATATGGGCTGGGTGAATGAAAGACTCGAGGGAACTGATTCATCTCAAGTCTACAAATACAAGTTCCTGGCACTGAAGGGTTCATCCTTCTACATTTTCAGCACTCCACCGGTAAGAAATCAATTTATTTTTTGTAAGGTTTTGATTACTGGTGCAATCCTTTTGTAAGCACTGGAAATGAATTCTTTCCTACTAAATAAAGGTTTAGGCTGAGATTTTCAAATGAGCCTAAGAGAGTTAGGCACCCAAATCCTATTGAATTGCAATTTGCCATTCCTGAGGCGCTTTTGATAATCCCAGCCATAAAGTTCTGGGAAAACTGGATTGTTAATGGGACACAGAGCTTTTGTTTTTAAGGCACTGGTTCAAATTCCCCTCAGGTTGGTTGTGACCAAAATTTGCTATCTTACATTTGTTCTGATGCCTACCTGTATGTGAAATGAGCTGGTACTTACTCTAGCTCCTTTAAGAAAGGAGTCCATATCACAGTTAGCACTAACGAGTGTTGATCTTTGCCAAAAGGTGATGTGTTGAACGTTCACAGGGGATAAATTATCCCTACACGCCTCCTAGGCATGAGACATTCCCCAAAGGTTACAGCATACTGGTGAGGTAGTGTAAGATAACGTGTAGTGGTACTGTCAGAGTTGTACTTTTTCTGTAGATAAAATGGAGGACCTCAGTCTCCACAGTTGACTAATCCCGTACCTTTCAAGAGTACTAAAATTTCACTGAAAGAAACTGAATAAAAATAAATTAGAGCATTCTAAAAATCTCAAAAGAATCCATACCATACCACATCATAACCTTCCTATTCTTCTTTTTCTTCCACTTATACAATAGAGTGCTGTTGCTCTCAGGAAAAAAAAATTGTAAAGAACAAAAAGGAACATTAAAAAACAGCTGCAAATAAACTGCCTATTTATGCCCCCACTGAAGTCAATAGTATAACTTCCATTGCTTTCAGGTGAAATAGGAGCAAATCCAGGCACTTTAAATGTAAACCGTCTTACTGGAGTATGGTAAAGTGAGAGATAGGATGATTTATGAACCTTAGACAGTAGCAATCAATAACACAGTCCCTCTTGCGCTATGCTACCGTTCAAGGCCAAATGATCCTATTACATTAGTACCATCAGGGGGTCAAAAATGGCCAAGTACCAATCTTTTGCTTAATTTGGAGTTAACAAAAACTAGATGTGAAGGACTCAATTTAAAATTAAATCCTGATCTCTCAAATGCAAGTAAATTAAAAAACACCTCAGCTCAGAGACTACTATTTAAATCAGTTAACCTATTGTATCTGTTTCTAGTTAAAAGACAATAAAGCAGAAAGAAAACATTAAGCCAATAAATAATACAACACACAATGACAGTCTTTTATGAATCTTAATTATGACTTTCAGACCTATTGTAGAAGGGGAATATTCAATATAGTTAAAACTATTCATCTCAGTGATACAAATTGAAGATAAACTAGTTAATTTATCAAAATTCAGCTCTCTGCTGATATCAAATAAGTGAGAATAAATGTATTGTAGCATTTTCCCTGCATTATCTTGATATATCTACTTCACTGCCATGTTTCTGGAGAGTTTCTGTAGTGGTATTGCTCCTTGTGAAAAAGTAAACAAGATAACTAAGGTGGCATCTTATATTAATGTCATGTTCATGCCCATTGATCAGACACTGTAGTAATGAGTATGATATAAATGACTAAATAGGTAAATTCTAAAGCTCAATGAACAGTTTTCCTGTTTTTTATTCATGTCACAAATGCCATGTTATGTGAGTGGCTCTACCACTCACTCATAGGGCGGTTCTCAGACAATGTTTATTTCTTTAGTCTAAATATCCATTACTTTTTTATTGTTGTATAAGTAATAATAATCATAATTAATAATAAAGTAATAAGCAATTGGAAATTGGCAGGATCCAACAAACCCGAACACTGGAGGTTCACAATTTCAACCTGGATCCAGATCCAAATTTCACATCTGGCCTCTACATGTATAATGGCCCCAAAATGTGTAACTCTGTGCCACTCCAATTTTGGATTCCCCCTTTGACCCTTTGGCTCAACTCTAATAGCTTTTAAAAAAAAAACCCTCTAATAATATTATTCCTATTGTTTATGGCCTATATAAAGTGAAAATCGAAAATCCTGAGTGTAACATTAAGATAATTCCAACAACAATTAACTGTTGTGCCACAAACAAATGTATTCCTGTGATTGGTTTGCTTAAATTTTAGGAGGGTAGTTATTATGTTCTATTTTAGTCACGTTGCCGTTATGCTGTACAGCACCATGAGAACATCAGCAGGCAAGCACTTTATATTTAAAATTATGTTACAGTGTGTATTTTGATTTAAATATACAAATTCGGGCTATCTGATAAAATGACTATCTTTAATCTTGAGGATCCTGTTCACAGCTTTATTGCTCATTTATATCAGGCATGTCCACTACAGTTTTTATTCTTGTTCTAGTCCTATCTGTAAATGGAGTGTAAATCGTACTTGGATTTGAACAGAGCTGACATATTTTCATGAAAATAACCCATAGCAGAACTCAGAAGAAATACTTCATAAAGGTTCGGGTCTAGTGATGTTTAGCAATTGAAAGGCTACTCGCTGTGGAGCTCTGCTCTGCTAAAATAGTTTCTGCAAATGACAGATCATCATCTTGGCAAGAATATGTCAAAGGAAATTTTGTTTTTGAATATCAGCATGTTTATGAAAGTTGAATTGTAGCTACCTTAGTTAAGCATCTACACTGCCTACCTTGATGGATAAAATGTATGAAAGATAAGGTCTTATCTAAATTTCAGGAACTGTGTCCAGACTTGTGAAAAAAAAATCCATGGAAAGGGAAAATTCTATTCCTTGATTAGTTTGGTACCTACACAGCAAAATCTTTAAATAACTGAAAGCTTTGATCAATCTTCTTATATTTGCTTTGTTTATTATTAGGTCTGTCAAGCAATTAAAAAGATTATTTGCGGTTAATTGCACGATTAAAAAAACTAATCGTGTTTCATTGTGCTGTTAATGATAGAATACCATTGATTTAAATTTTTTTGGATGTTTTATACATTTTCAAATATATTGATTTCAATTACAAAACAGAATACAAAGTGTACAGTGCTCACTTTAAATTTATTTTTATTACAAATATTTGCATTGTAAAAAACAAAAGATATAGTATTTTTCAATTCACCTAATACAAATACTATAGTGCAATCTCTTTATCATGAAAGCTGAACTTACAAATGTAGACTTATGTACAAAAATAACTGCATTCAAAAATAAAACAATGTAAAACATTAGAACTTACAAGTCCAATCAGTCCTACTTCCTGTTCAGCCAATCACTCAGAAAAACAAGTTTGTTTACATTTGCAGAAGATAATGCTGCCTGCTTCTTGTTTACAATGTCACCTGAAAGTCAGAACAGGCATCCACATGGCACTGTTGTAGCTAGTATGGCAAGATATTTACATGCCAGATGCACTAAAGATTCATATGTGCCTTCATATGGGACCATTCAACCACCATTCCAGAGGACATGCATCCATGCTGATGATGGGATCTGCTCGATAACAATCCAAAGCAGTGCAGACCGACGCATGTTCATTTTCATCATCTGAGTCAGATGCCACCAGAAGACTGTTGATTTTCTTTTTTGGTGGTTCGAGTTCTGTAGTTCCCACATCAGAGTGTTGCTCTTTTAAGACTTCTGAAAGCATACTCCACACCTCATCTCTCTCAGATTTTGGAAGGCACTTCAGATTCATAAATCTTCAGTCAAGTTCTGTAGCTATCTTTAGAAGTTTCACTTTGGTATCTTCTTTGCATTTTGTCAAATTTGCAATGAAAGTGTTCTTAAAATGAACAGCATGTGCTAGGTCATCATCCAAGACAGCTATAACATGAAATATATGGCAAAATGTGGGTAAAACAGAGCAGGAGACATGCAATTCTCCCCCTAGGAGTTCAGTCACAAATTTAATGAACACATTATAGCCATCTGGCACGTAAATATCTTGCAATGCTAAGTACAACAGTGCCATGAGAATGCCTGTTCTCACTTTCAGGTGACACTGGAATTATGAAGTGGGCAGCATTGTCTCCAGTAAATATAAACAAACTTGTTTCTCTTAGCGATTGGCTGAACAAGAAGTAGGACTGAGTGGACTTGTAGGCTCAAAAGTTTTACATTGGTTTGTTTTTGAGTGCAGTTATGTAACAAAAAACCCTACACTTGTATGTGGCACTTTCATGATAAAGAGATTGCACTACAGTACAGCGGACCCTTGCTAGAGCGCGCATCGCTAGAGCGCAGATTTGCATATAGCACGGTCGTGGCGATAGATCCCAAATTTAAATATTTCAATTGGGATCCATGGTAACACAGCCCCTGTTATAATGTGGTCCCCGCGTTAACGCGGTACGGTCCATGGATTCCAAACCCCGCGTTCTAGCGAGGGTCCGGTGTATTTGTATAAGGTGAATTGAAAAATAATATTTCTTTTCTTTTTTTATGGTGCAAATGCTTGTAATCAAAAATAAATATAAAGTAAGTACACTTTGTATTCTGTGTTGAAATATAAATCAATATATTTGAAAATGTAGGAAAACATCCAAAAATATTTAATAAATTTCAATTGGTATTCTATTGTTTAACAGTGCAATTAATCGCAATTAATTTTTTTGAGTTAATCTCATGAGTTAACTGCGATTAATCAACAGCCCTATATATTATTCATCCAGGAGTGCTACAGTGTGGCCATGGTAATGTCAATGTGTGTTATCAGATATTGTCCCTACATGGTCAACATAACAGTTTGCAAAAAATGGACAGGTTTAGACATAAAAATCAATATCTAAAATAAGCAGACTTGCTTACAACAATATCACCAGAGAACAAGTTGTATGCAATAGACTATGAAGTACAGACCTTGGGGATTCTAATTCCTAGAGCATAAACAAAGATTGAGTGATCATCATAGATTTTCCAACATGCATCTTCTGTCTTTGTTCCCTAATACTGCAAGTAGTATTATTGGATTTCTCTGATGCTGGAAAAAATCTCATGAACTTGCACTTGTT